CTTCTCATAGGTCCATCTGCTTCCACTTTTAAGTTAAAAGAAAGAAAGAAAGAAGATAGGAAGAGAGAAAATCTTTGATGGTCGATCCTGTCGTTGATAATGTAGAGCTTAAGTATCAAACCCTTTTGTTGTAATCGGTGTAGAGAAGAAAGAAACTACACTTGAAAACAAAGGAATCGTATGAGATTTTGTAAATCTTTTGAAGGTAATATGAGAAAACACTACGAGTCTCTCTCTATGTCTCCACTCCAGTCTCCATTTGTTTAAGCATGAAAGCAACCAGAAACGAGATTGTAAAGGACTGACTATATATATATTATAGTATCAATATTTAGGAATGTGATATGATCTTGTGGTGGATTTGTAGTTGTTATGATGCGTTTTTAAAATATAGTCGAGGTTTGCATTGAAAATGATGGAAACTCTTCCGAACGCCATGAGACAAAGACTGTTCAGCCCCTCGTAATTTGTACCCCCCCAGTTTTTTTCATAGCGAGAGAGACCCGAATTATGGAAGGGTAAAACCGTAAACTAAGTTTGGTTAAAGAAATGAATTTAAAAATCGGGGAAAAAATTGGGACCGTCCTTTCCACTGATTGTAGTTTTGTGAACGAAGATAAATTTCCTCTGTTTCTCCTCTCTCTCTTTCTCTCCTTCTCCGTTCTTGTTCTGGGACTCTCTCGCAGTCGATCTCAACGCTACTCCAATAATATTATCATATTTGCGACCTCAAACTTGAACTTTAGAATCATAATCTCTCTCTGGATTTCTCGGTCAATCCGTTTTCAGTCAATTTTTCACGAGTTGCATCTCCAGGTGATTTTGTTGATCCTATCCTATCTTCTCTCCGCCTTCGATCTTAATTTCTGTCTCCCAGGTTCCTGAGTTTCTGGAATCGTGCTCGTGTCTCTTAATTCGATACTACGATTGCTTGCTCTTGTGCGGGATTTATTGTTTTCGTTTCCGTTTCGTTTTTCGCTCTGCGGCTTTTGTGCGTTTTTCAACTTTTAGTGTGTCGGAGCCGAATTACGGGGGAGCTCTGGGATTAAAGTTACGATGAAATCGAGAGTGGACTTTAATCTTCTTTTTTTTTTTGTGTGCATCTTTGATCTTCGTTTCTAAGCGCTTTGTTACTCTCTGAATATTGTCTTTGACTACCAAGTGTATAATAGATCTTTGTTTCTGATGAAATTTGTTGCAACTCAAGCTATATGCACAGAAAATTATGGTTCTTTCACGTTACAACTCTATTTTGTGAGTAGGAATATGTTAAGCTTCTGTGGTCCCTTGCTTTGGGTGGTTGAGTGATGAGAAGGTGCTTTCTTTCATTCAGGTGCATATCCATCAACTAGAAACAGAAAAATGTCCAATTACCAAGGGGAGGATGCTGAGTACATGGACGACGTAGATGATGAAATGGAAGAGGTAGACGATGACATTGATGAGGAGTTTCGTGGGGGTGACATGGCTGCCTCGGATTCCGATGTTGACGAGTTTGACTACTCTGTAAGTTTCAATTGGTTTTTATGTCGCCAAGATTCGGAAATCATTCTTCTTCAATCGCTTACTCTACTGTGTGGTTCTTTGTTTGGTTTCAGAATAATAAGATAGCTGATACCTCAGCTGATCAAGCCCGGAAAGGGAAAGACATCCAGGGGATTCCTTGGGACAGGCTTAGTATTACCAGAGAGAAATACAGACAGACTAGGCTAGAACAGTACAAAAATTATGAAAATGTCCCTAACTCTGGGGATTCCTCGGGGAAAGTGAGTCTTCCATTCCCTAAACCCTTGAGCTGTGTTCGACTTGTTTCACTATTGTATTGTTGGTTTTATATCGTTACATGTCATTTGCTTCATGACTACAGGATTGCATGGCCACGCAGAAAGGGGCCACTTTTTATGATTTCTGGCGGAATTCAAGATCTATCAAATCAAGTATTCTTCATTTCCAGGTTATCATCGAATCATAGCTATTTTTTGTCATTCAAAGTTTCTTTTTTTACTAATTCAGTCCGTATGTCATGTGTTTGGTTAATGAGCTTTAGTAGAACGTTTGCTGTGCTAATAAGCTTTTACGTGGACATCTAATGAAAACTCACTTTCTTTGTACTGTAGCTGAGGAACTTGGTTTGGGCAACTTCAAAGCACGATGTCTACCTTATGTCACAATTTTTGGTGAGCCACTACTCTACTTTGACATCTGGAAAGCATGAAGTCCTCAATGTTCAAGGCCATGTTTCCCCATCCGAGGTTAGTTTCTTCCAGAATCATGAAAGATTCCTGTATAAAAAAACAAACGAAATCAGTCAATGATGATGATTTTTCTTCTTCTTGTGTGGGTGCAGAAACATCCGGGAAGTTTGCTGGAGGGATTTACGAAGACTCAAGTGAGTACACTTGCAGTGAGAGATAAGTTTCTAGTTGCTGGCGGATTTCAAGGAGAACTTATTTGCAAAGTAAGCTCTAGAGTCCTTAGGAATCATTGGATTTCGCATACATGCAATCTAATCAAGGAACTTCATCTGATTCCACATTGATTTGATTCAGCATCTTGATAGACCCGGTGTGAGCTTTTGTTCACGTACAACTTATGATGACAATGCTATCACCAACGCAATTGAGATTTATAACAAACCCAGGTATTTGCCTGTCTTTTGCTCCATGCAGTCTTTGCCAACTTGTGCAATTGACAGCTTCTAACATACCTTTTGGCGTCTGTCTGTCTGTCTGCAGTGGCGCGCTTCATTTTACTGCCTCAAACAATGATTGTGGAGTGAGAGATTTTGATATGGAGAGATATCAGCTTGTTAACTATTTTCGCTTTCCTTGGCCAGTGAATGTAAGTCCCTACTTGTGGCAGTAAGTTTGAGTAATAAGTAACGTGTGGAATATTGCATCTTTGACATTAATCAGTTAACGAACTAAAGTGGATCATCATATTTTTGTTGTCAGCACACATCTCTGAGTCCTGATGGTAAACTGTTGACGATTGTGGGAGACAACCCTGAGGGCCTTCTCGTAGACCCCAACACGGGAAAGGTGCAGACACTCTCTCTATTCTCTGTGTTCAAATCTACTCTCTATAAATACGCTATTCTAACTCATTTTGGAAATTTCCGATAGACACTGGCAACGCTTGCAGGGCATTTGGACTTTTCCTTTGCATCGGCATGGCACCCAGATGGGCTCACTTTCTCCACAGGTAACCAAGACAAGACCTGCCGGGTTTGGGACATTCGTAACCTGTCTAAATCTGTCGCTGTCTTGAGGGGTAACCTCGGGGCAATCCGATCCATCCGCTACACATCCGACGGGAGATACATGGCCATGGCTGAGCCGGCTGACTTTGTCCACGTCTACGACGTCTTAAACGGGTATGAAACCGAACAAGAGATCGATTTCTTTGGAGAGATCTCGGGAATATCCTTCAGCCCGGACTCAGAAGCGCTCTTCATCGGCGTCTGGGACCGCACTTACGGTAGTCTCCTTGAGTATGGCCGGAGCCGAAACTACTCCTACCTTGATTCCTTTCTATAATCTCATTCGACGACCCTTCAGAAGAATAAAAAGAGCTTTTTCAATACGCGTGTGTGCTTTCACTCTCCCGTGGCTTTGTTCATACGAGAAACCCGACCCCAAGAAAACATAAAAGTGTGATATCGAACCTCTAATTGTGTAAATGATGTGTTTTGCAAGTACTAGGATGTCACAGTGAGTCGATTTAGTTAGTTGATTTTCTTCTTTTGAGTGTTGAGGTTCATGTATCATCATCATGTATGTGTACAGAAGAAGTGTTGAGGTTCAGCTTGAGTTTGCATAAAGTCATAAACTCTCTAGGGATTCCATTTGATCCTTTTGCGCTGGTTCTTTGTTGATTTTCCACGGATTATATATGTATTTTGTGGACTAAAATTAACGTAATGAAAGTAGAGTCTCTTAAGAAGAACAGTCTAAACTATGAGGGCCTTATATTGCAAAGGACTATGTGGATTAAATCGAACAAAATAAAAAGTATTGTGTTTTAAGAAAAACCGCTGTAAACTACAAGGGCTTCAACATAAATAAATTGGCTGGAAAAATCTCTTAATCCAGAAAGAACCAATGAGACAACGCCACATCATCATCCCTGAATCGTATCCTCACAAACAAAATCCAGTATCGTCTCTTCACCTAAGATCATAAATCGAAAACCACTCATTCTGCTTGCACCTGAAAATTCCCCAGAGAAGAAGAAGAAATGGCGACAAGCGCATCTGCTTTGCTCTCTCCTTCGACTTTCTCCACCGCAATCTCCCAGAAAAACCCAAACTCCATCTCATTCCATGGCCTCCGTCCCCTCCGCCTCGGTGGCTCATCCGCCTTGCCCAAGCTATCCACCACCGCCGGGAGAAAGTCCTCCTCTGCCGTCGTGAGAGCCGAGCTCAGCCCATCCGTCGTCATAAGCCTGAGCACGGGTCTCTCCCTCTTCCTCGGGCGATTCGTCTTCTTCAACTTCCAGAGAGAGAACGTGGCGAAACAGGGGTTGCCGGAGCAGAACGGGAAAACCCACTTCGAGGCCGGAGATGATCGTGCCAAGGAGTACGTCAGCCTCTTGAAATCGAACGACCCGATTGGATTCAACATCGTCGATGTTCTTGCTTGGGGTTCTATTGGACACATCGTTGCTTACTACATCTTGGCCACTTCCAGCAATGGCTACGACCCAAGCTTCTTTGGCTGATTCATTCAATTTCTGTCTCCTATATGTATATCTTTGACTTGTATCGCAAGCTATCTAATCTATTCTCTATCTTCGTTTCTTCTTCCTCCTCTCTTGTTCAAAGATGAAGATCATACACTATGGAAACAGAGATGAAATTAGATCTTCCTTTACTCTCAACAAGATTTCGATTTAATTTAAAACATTGCAGAAATAAAACAAGAAAACAAAAACAATTCATTAAATGTAAAAGTTGCCAAGATGTAAATCTCTGGCCAGTTCTACAACTTATTCTCAAATCAAAGTTCTCAAAAAGAAACACAAAAACAGAAAAGACAACAACAGAGAAACACAAGAACAGAAAAGACAACAACAGAGAAACACAAAAACAGAAAAGACAACAACAGAGAAACACTAGAGACCCGCCTCATCGTTTGCCGCCGCAGCATCATCATGTGCCGCCGCTGCATCATCGTTTGCCGCCGCTGCATCATCGTTTGCCGACGCTGCATCATCAATCTTAGCTACAATATCCGCAGCACAAGATTGAACCAAAGCGTAGTACTCCGACATCTCTGTTTTGTACCTCTCCGCATCTTCAGACCCTTTGTCTAGATAGACCTGTTCAAGAATCATTAAACAAATCCATTAAATATCATTCCAGATAAGTGAAACTCGGAAGACTCATGCTTAATGTGTTACCTTTCGATCAGATGCAGGGAGATTGCTCCACTTGTTCCCGATTTCCTTAATGGGATATCGGTCTTGTCCCGCGTACTCATGTTTAATCCTCTGGTACTGATCGGCAACGAAGAAGTTATAGCCGCTCCTATGGGACTTAGGTCGAGCAAAATCCATCTCAGATGGTGATTTTGCTTTCTTCTTGCGTCTCCGAGCATCAGCAGAAGTTTCGGGAGTGTGGTAAAGCACTCCTTTTAACTCTTGTGAGCCCATCTTCATGGTTACAAAATACCCGTCCTCGAACTTCCCATCAATGATCCCGTTGATCAAGCAGCCAGCTTCCAGTTCGTGAGTGCCTGAGAGTTTCAGAATTCAAATCTCAAAAAGACTCAAAGCACACTGAAAAATAAGAATTTACACAAACACCCCCTTGCATGTAAGCAATGAAAGCTTCGAGTACCATTGTCATTGTCATTGTCATGATTTGCAGATTTTTTCTCAATAAGGAAGCGATTCATGGCTTCTTCTGCAATAAATGGAAAAACTTGTTATGTTAATAATCTCGAATCTATATGAGAAAAAGAAAACAGCTAAGAAAACATGATTGGTTTTTTCAGACCTCTTGACCGGAATGAAGAAAGTGGCTCTTGGAAGAAATACACATGCTCAAATGCAAAGAGTATGTCCAGATAGTACTTCTTCAAAAGATATGCTGCATTGGTCGTTGTTGTCGAAACGTTAAGACTTTGAATCACTGCTTTGCATTTACGATTCTTGATCACCTTGAATCAAAAAAGGGTTTGTATTATATATAATGAATGCATATAAGCTTCAAAAACTTCATGGTCAAGGGCACTATGAACTCAGATACCTGTTCCACACCACCTCGAGTTGTGACCTCGATGAAAAGCCGATGCAGATCGAGATTGTGTCCAGCCACAACAGGAATCCTGTACACAAGGCAAAATCATTAACAGTTTTCTTCTTTCTCCCCATGAAATGAAGCACAAACAATGAACATATCTAAAGAGGATAAAAGCAATTCTCATTCCCACAAAAAAAGAATACTTTATAACAATTTGGCATTAATGGTAACCATAACAACACATTTTAAGAACCTCTTCATAGCCTATCATTTCTAGATTTAATATTAACCAAAACCAGATCCACTTTATGTTGCCTTTGTGATTTTGGAATAAACTGTTTTAAAACGGGACTAGATCCAAGTCAATAAGCCATACAAAATTTACTGCCTTACAGATTCGAAATCATTCCATTAAAAGTATAACCTAACTGATCTATGTTTTCATATCGCAAAACAAAATCTAACCAACTCCTTAAACCCTTAAATCTATCATCACCCTTACAATCTAAACACAGTACGAGTCATTTATCACCAACAATACGACATATTACTATCAAAATTGCATGAATCTCAGATAAATTCCCGAGAAAAACCATTTAAATGACATCAGTCTGCATGGAGAGAAGCAAATATTTTTTTTTGTATATAGAAATGCAAAACCCAAAATATATATATGTACATATGGAATAAGGAAAATGCGAAATTTACTTCAAAGTTTTGTCAAGGTGTCCGAGAAGATCCCGCAGATTATCCCAAAAAAGATCAGAGTTCCGGACAAGATCCTCGTACGTAGGCATACGAAAGGAATCAGCAGTGCTCTTGTTGTCTGAAGAAGAGCCATAAGCAGGAACTAGTTGAAGTTGTGATTCTGTAGCTTCGCTAGACATTTTTTGGGGGGGTTAAAGGTTGAAAAGATTTTGGTTATCTTTTAGAGGTAGATATTTTATATATAACTTCATACAATGGTATAAACCTGGATGATTGATATTTTTAATATGGGACTAGGGACTACTATTTATATACAGGTTTGATGTTATCTTCACCAAATATAAATTTACTTCATTCCCTTTTTATATAGTCTATATACACGTATAATAAATTTGGATATACGACTAATAATGAAATGTTGAATAAATTTTCACGATTTTGGTAAAATTTTAAAATATAGTCAGCAAATAGATTCTTCCAAATATTTTAAAATTATGTCAAGTAGATAAGTATTATTAATATTTGTATTTGAATACAAACTAGTTATTTTAGATTATTTTTTAACTAGAGCTAGTGTGTCATTTTAAGAGAAAACATTCTGTAATGAACAAAAATGCAAACAAATATAAATCTAGATCTTAAAATTCTATTTAAAATTTGATATAAGCCAAACATTGTAATATTCTTTTAATAGAACATGTTGATCATTTTAACCAAAAAAAAATTGGTAGAATTTAATCCCAAATCAATACCACCAATGTGGTGGGCTAGTGGTTTAAGTGCAGGAGTTGGATCCATGTGCTCCCTAGTTCGATTCACGGTAGGAGGGATGCTTTACACCATGTCATAAGGTATTAGCAAAGGCTGGTCTCTAGCCATGGGGGAGATTAAGGCCCAGGCCCGAACTCGTCCTAATTAACAAAAAAAAAAAACAAAAGAAAATTTAACTTGGTAGTGTTGAAACCGGATTTTGAGGGAACCAATCTTTTAACACCACATCATCAAGACATCCTACCAAACTATACGCATGATATGACAAGCGTGCAGGCCTAGTTAACGGATTCATGCATGAATCATTATATTCACTATTCAGTCATACACCAAGAACAAAGATAATTTTTCTATAGTTTTTATTATATTTTTAGGTTGATATATATAACTACTATACGAAACTGGATTGAACCTCTTTGGTTTTAAAATATGAAAAATCAGAAATAGTATAACTATGTACGCAATTTTCAGCTCCAATGAAGAAAATTCGAAGGAACAACAGCATCCTTTTCTTGTACAAAGAGGTCGTCTGGATTCCGTACGACGGCGTGGAACAAACAAAGCAAGAGACCTGTAACGACCCCAAGAGCCATACTCTCGAGGCAGTGCGTGAACCACATTGCCCAGAGCGACCCAAGGATCAACCCGAAGACGATCACATGGTCGTTAATATGTCGACCGTACAAGACCAACGGATGGTCTTTGCAAAAGTAGAAAAGCAACCACATGCTAGCAAAAGAGGCAACGGTGAGAAGAGCCGTGGGATCACCGATCAAGAAGAGTGTGGAGGAAGCAACGATCACGAGCGAGTAGTTAACCACGAAGTGGCGGAGGTTGAGCTTAGCGCGCGAGAAGGCGGAAGAGAAAGATGTAGGACGGTCGATAGAACCTAATGCAAGAAACTCCAACCATGGACGGTGACTGGAAACAAACGCTATTAGATTTTGCATCGAAAGAGAGATGACATCAGCGATAGAAAGATGCGTCTCCTCCGCCGTGATTGGAAGATTCTCCGCCGGTGATAGCATCTCCGGAGGCAGCTTTTGAGTTTTCAGGTCAACCAATTTGACGTAAACTCCAAGTTTGCATGTATGTATGCTAGCAAAGAAAGAGTGGGTGCCACGTTGATAATGTTATGGGCCGGGTCGGGCCTGCTTGCTTAAAGGGCCTACAAATTTGGGCCGGTTTCTCTTGAAATGGTGGGATTCGGTTCGGCGATTCTCGTTCTGTTTCTCTCAAAAGAAAGGGCAGAGCCAGACGACTCAGTTAAATTGGATTCAGCTTCGTTTTCAGTTTGCCATTCTTCCACTCGAACTCACCTCCTTCGTCTAAGGTAAATCTCGGCTCTTCCTCGTTATCTTCTATATTCAGATGGGATTCGTAGAAACCTAGACTACGATTTGCTGAATTGCTTTGATGGGTTTTTGCGAGTTTGGGAACACGAGGCTTGTGGGTTTGTTCCTGGTGAGATTTCCGTCTTCGAATTTAGGTTTATCGAGTCCGATTAGTTTCCTAAAGTGGGAGAGATGATGAACAGACATCAATGCTGTACTGAGCTTAATTATGAACTCTGTAATTCATTCCGGCACAAGTGTTGTGCGTAAAGCTTCTCGCTTTCTCTTAAGCTCGAGGAAATTCTGCGATGGTGGCATCAAAGATAATAATGGTTTCCCTCCAATCGAAGAGCCGTTGAAGATAACATGGGAATCTTCGGAGATGGATTGTGGGTTTGCCGAGGAGGAACATGAAGAAAGCTTCGATGGTCGTGAGAAAATCTCTGTGAGGAGGAGGTTCTTGGAGGATGCTAAGCTCGGTGCTTCCCAGGTTCTCGATACTTTACTGCAAGATTGTCCCGGGTCCAATACGAAATCAGCTTTGGATGAGTTGAATGTTCCAGTCTCAGGACTTGTAGTGAGAGAGGTTCTTGTTGGGATCTTAAGGACTCTAGGGTATGATAACCAGACGAGGTGTGCTAAGCTAGCTTACAAGTTCTTTGTGTGGTGTGGTGGGAAAGAGAGTTTCAGGCACACGGCGAATTGTTACCATCTACTGATGAAGATATTTGCAGAGTGTGGTGAGTACAAAGCCATGTGCAGGCTAATCGACGAGATGGTCAAAGACGGTTATCCGACGACGGCGAGGACGTTTAATCTGCTGATATGCACTTGCGGTGAAGCAGGCCTTGCGAGAGAAGTCGTGGAGCAGTTCATCAAATCGAAAGCTTTCAACTACCGACCTTTCAAACACTCGTACAACGCGATCTTGCACTCCTTGCTAGGGGTGAAGCAGTACAAGCTGGTTGATTGGGTTTACGAGCAGATGTTGGAAGACGGGTTCTCGCCGGATGTCCTGACTTACAACATTGTGATGTTTGCAAACTTTAGGTTAGGGAAAACAGACCGGCTCTACAGATTGCTTGATGAAATGGTTAAAGACGGGTTTTGTCCGGACTTCTACACGTACAACATCCTCCTCCACCACCTGGCGACCGGAAACAAGCCTCTCGCCGCTCTGAACCTTCTGAATCATATGAGGGAAGTGGGAGTGGAGCCCGGTGTGATCCACTTCACCACTCTGATAGACGGGCTGAGCCGAGCCGGGAAGTTAGAGGCTTGCGAGTACTTTATGGAGGAGACGGTGAAGGTTGGATGCACGCCGGATGTTGTTTGTTACACTGTTATGATCACGGGATATATATCAGGTGGGGAGCTCGAGAAAGCCGTGGAGATGTTCAGAGAGATGACGGAGAAAGGGCAGCTCCCGAATGTGTTCACATACAACTCCATGATCCGTGGCTATTGTATGGCGGGGAAATTCAAAGAGGCCTGCTCCTTGCTCAAGGAAATGGAGTCAAGAGGGTGTAACCCTAATTTCGTGGTTTACAGTACGCTGGTCAACAATCTGAGAAACGCAGGGAAGCTTTTAGAGGCTCACGATGTAGTCAAGGACATGGTGGAGAAAGGGCATTATGTTCATCTGATTTCAAAGTTGAAAAAATATAGAAGAAGCTAGTTTTTCTTTTGAAAGGCAATTTCTGTTAAACAAATAACTATTTGTACTTCTTTTATATGATGTACAAAAATGTGAAATTCTATGTTGTCGGTAATAAACAAGATCCAGTTGAGATGTCCTCATGTCTTCTTGGTTGAAAAAATGATCTACTGATTGAAATATCGAAGAAAAAAAAAATATTCGTCAACAACAGGGTTCGAACCTGCGCGGAACAAAGCCCTACAGAATCCAAGTCTGTCTCCTTAACCACTCGGACATATCGACTTATTATTCTTCGGCGAATAATAAGATATTTAACATTTAGTAAATATGCTTTCAGAATAACAAACTTAGCCCAATAAAGGCCCATAAATGGTGGCTTGGATCCTCTCACTCAGAGTGAGAGTTCTCTTACGACGCATGCCGCGTGTTACGTCATCGAGAGGAGACGGTAAAAATCCTCGGAATCTGAAAGCCGATCAAATCTGAAGAAAACCGGCGAAGTATCTCTGTGGCGTCGATTACTATTTCATCCCGGAAACGAACTGAGAGATTGATGCTATCGTCGATCATCACGGCTAGTGGGATGATGTGTTGGTAACGGAGGCTAGGAATTAGATATGTCATCGGGAGGTGCCGGAGAGTACAACGAGGACAGGCACCTGCTGCGATCCACCGACGGCGATGAAGTCGGAATTGGGGGAGGAGACGGTGACCTCGATGTTGAATCTCAGTCTCTGGCTATCAGGAGTGGAACTGGAGGAGTTAGAGATCTGTTCAAGCATCTGGATCGGAGGTTCTCTCTCTCTGGGCGTCGTCTAAGCATTAAACGGATGGAGAACATCAGAGTTGATAGGGAGCACCACCATCCTTCTTCTTCTTCCCCGCTTTCGGCTGGTGTGGTTTCTAGAGACGAAGATGGCGGTGGTATCAGTAATTTACATAGCGTCGATGATCGGAACGATGAGTACGGCTTTGATGAAGGCAACGACGTGCTCGGAGATAGTGCTCCACCTGAGTGGGCTCTGCTTCTCATCGGCTGTCTTATCGGAGTTGCCGCCGGAATTTGTGTCGCCGGCTTCAATAAAGGGGTACGGTCATGCATTCATACATCAGATCTCCATTAATTTAAATCTAGATCGATTCGAGTGGAACACCCATATCCTGATAATAATGATTTACGCTAAACTATTTTGATTGCTGATTCAATAGAGTAGTGTTTTTGTCTAGTAGGTTCATGTCATTCATGAGTGGGCATGGGCTGGTACTCCCAACGAGGGTGCTGCTTGGCTTCGCCTACAGAGACTAGCCGACACTTGGCACCGGATTCTTCTAATTCCGGTCACAGGGGGTGTTATAGTAGGAATGATGCATGGTTTGCTCGAGATCCTAGACCAAATCAGGCAGTCCACTTCTTCTCAAAGACAAGGAGTCGATTTTCTTGCTGGTATATTCCCAGTGATAAAGGCCATCCAAGCTGCTGTGACCCTTGGTACAGGATGTTCACTCGGTCCCGAGGGACCTAGCGTCGACATTGGAAAGTCCTGCGCCAACGGTTTTGCGCTCATGATGGAAAACAACAGAGAAAGGAGAATAGCTCTCACTGCAGCTGGCGCGGCCTCTGGGATTGCATCTGGTATGATCCATAACCTTATTGATATTTATGTACATTGGATTGTCAATGCACGGAAAATCAACATAGCCCTCATTCACTCTAGTGTCCTGGTATCTTTTTGGCGTGTGCAGTCTTTCGTTTGTTCATGGTTATAAATCTGATATACCCAAACCTTTATTTCTCGTTACAGGTTTCAATGCAGCAGTGGCGGGTTGTTTCTTTGCTATTGAGACTGTTTTAAGACCACTACGTGCCGAGAACTCCCCTCCATTTACCACTGCGATGATAATTTTGGCCTCTGTTATATCATCGACTGTGTCAAATGCGTTGCTTGGGACTCAATCAGCTTTCACAGTCCCCTCATACGACCTGAAGTCCGCTGCAGGTATGTTTCTTTTACTTTTAAGCTCAATTGCAAACCTTCCATTTAGTCTTGTGATGTGAGTTTTTAGTGTATCCTTATATGTTTCCCAAACATGGTTTCACTTGTCTCCAGAGCTCCCTCTGTACCTGATATTAGGAATGCTTTGCGGTGCTGTTAGCGTTGTTTTCTCTCGGCTTGTTACGTGGTTTACCAAGTCCTTCGATTTCATCAAAGACAAATTTGGTCTTCCTGCTATTGTGTGCCCTGCGTTAGGTGGTTTAGGCGCTGGGATGATTGCTCTCAAGTACCCCGGAATTTTGTACTGGGGTTTTACAAATGTTGAGGAAATCCTGCATACTGGAAAGAGTGCTTCAGCTCCTGGAATCTGGTTATTAGCTCAGTTAGCCGCAGCCAAAGTTGTGGCTACGGCTTTGTGCAAAGGCTCTGGGCTTGTAGGCGGTCTATACGCGCCAAGTTTGATGATTGGTGCTGCTGTTGGGGCTGTGTTTGGAGGTTCGGCTGCTGAGATTATTAACAGAGCTATTCCTGGTAATGCTGCTGTGGCTCAACCACAAGCTTACGCTCTGGTATTGTATTCCCTTTGTTGCAGGCCCTTTTCAGTGCCAGCTTTTTCTAATTATAATATTGTCCAATTCGGTTGCTACGAATTCTGACTTATGAAGATGCCATCATTATATGCGATGTAGGTTGGGATGGCAGCGACACTCGCTTCCATGTGCTCAGTGCCCTTAACATCAGTATTACTGCTGTTCGAGCTAACAAAAGATTATAGAATTTTGCTTCCCCTCATGGTAAACACTCGTTTTCCCTTTCAGTTCTGATGGTGCTTATGAAACATGGTGTTTAACTTATCGAGCAGAAAAACCCTTCTTCAAACTATGAAATGTAACAGTTACCATGTTCGCTAAAACAATCTGGTTGAAGTAATTTTCTTCAAATCTCTATCATGTTTGTTGTTGATCTGATCTTTCTGTCGGTTTTTGCTAACAGGGAGCGGTTGGTTTAGCAATATGGGTTCCCTCTGTGGTAAACCAAGGCAAAGAAAGTGATTCATCTGAGGGTCGCAACACAGGAAGAGGATACTCTTCTCTTTCGCCTTCCGATCGTAAAACCGAAGGTGTTTGGAGACACACGGATAATGCTGACTCCCTTGAGCTTACCGTCATAGAGAACCCTGACCACAAATCCTATTTGGATGAAGAAACTATTCTGGAAGATTTAAAGGTTTTGCGGGTAATGTCAAAGAACTACGTGAAGGTCTCTCTGGGAACAACTCTAAGAGAAGCAAGAAACATCCTTAAAGACAGCCACCAGAGCTGCCTTATGGTGGTAGACGAGGATGATCTTTTAGCCGGAATCCTAACACATGGGGACATCAGACGATACTTGTCCAATAACGTCTCGACAATCTTAGATGTAAGTAGTAAAAGAAAACAAACTCTGCCCAGTCTTATCGAACTAACAAACTCTTGTTCTGTCTCTTGTAGGAGAATACATGTCCGGTTTCGTCCGTGTGTACACGGAAGATAACTTACCGAGGTCAAGAACGCGGTTTGCTTACTTGTTATCCAGACGCGACTGTTGGTGTGGCCAAAGAGTTGATGGAGGCAAGAGGCGTGAAGCAATTACCTGTGGTAAGACGAGGTGAAGTAATTCACAAAGGGAAACAAAGGAAACTGCTTGGCCTTCTTCATTACGACTCCATCTGGACTTTTCTCAGGTACTAACGTAAACAAAGGAAACAAAGTGTTACCTTTTGTGAAACGATCTTGAAATTCCAAATCTAAAGTTCAATTTGTTGTTGTTGTTGTGGTTATAATATATATACGCAGAGATGAAATGAGTCGTAGGAAATCGATCAATGAACGGAGAAAAGAGAAGTACGAAGAGGTTGGTGCAAATGGGCATTAATTGGGTTTGTACCCATTTGGTATAGCTTTCTTCTTCTTCTTCTTCTTCTTTGTTAATTTTGGAGTTCCAATTGATTAGAACGCAAAAATAATGTTAATACCTCTTTATTAGTTTTGGACATATTGTTCTCACAAAAGTAACACTCATATCACATATACTATAATGAATAGAAAATCTAGTGACGTAGATACTACATATTTTGAGAGATATCTACTTTTTATTCTCAAACTAATCTCACTACTTCTTAGCAATCCTTGTGATATTCAGTTTCGACAGTGTTTTAAATGAGACGAATGAGTTTTTGTTGAATTTTCTTTTATAGTTTCTTTAATTCATCGTTTCTCTTTAGTAACCTTTGCAGTTTGCATTATTAGATTATATAATCATGTGTGAAACTTCATTTACGTTGCTTTTCTTTTGCATGAATGTGATAATACAACTGTTAGTTAAAGTTGTTAACTTAAAAGGTTTTTTTTTTTTTTATCGTGATGAATAAATCATATTAGAAGAAGATCCATAAACATAATGCAATGACTGATAATGGACCCTTGCATTAATTGTTTTTCACTGAAAAGAGCTTTATCTACAGCAATTTCGTTGATAAAAGAGGGACAAAGTCACAAAACTAACAAATAGTTGACTAATTGATTGGAGTGTGATTGAATTTTGTTGGTGTAAGTGGGTGACGAATGATAATTTTTTTTTAAATGCTTAGCTTTTTCTTCATTATTAGGTCGGTCCTTAATGTCAAACAAAACCTATCTCAAGAATAAATTTGATTTCAATATTATTTTGATTAATACCCTCAATAAAAGCGCAAAATATTCCAGCATCTTCCAATCTTATATAACCTAAACAGCTAGGAAACCAATTAATTTCAAGTGATTAGTTCTCTCGATAAATCATTTTCATTTTTCGACGTGTGAACTTTTTGTATTTGAAAGATTGGAAGTTGTCAAGAGACATGCATGAACTATTCGTCAATTTTCTTTTACCTAATTTTAATAATGATACGTTGGACCATTAAAATGTCTTTTTCCGCCTTTTTATTTCTTCTTTTACAAGCTATGGACTAATAAAAAGAAGAAAATAATATATACGTATAGAAAAGGTGATTGTTATAATTTGGACAAATATGATGAACAATTAGGGATTGATTTGGATTTGGATTTGGATCATCATTAGAAAATAGTCGTTTTCACAAAGCCGTCATCATCCACCTTTCATTACACCAAAGAAAAATGAACAAGGACAAAATTAATTTGGTTAATGATGATTTTATATTATCACCATGTAATTACAAATCAGAAAATAGTTTCAAATATAATTTTTTCATTTCAAAATTGTTTATCAAGAGTAACAGTTGTTTATTCAAATTAAAAAGAAATATCTGTAAAATTTGAAGTCATAGGTTTATGATTGTTTTTGCTACATACCATTTTGTATTTAGTAAACGTATCCGACTGCAAAAAGTTTCTTGCAAGAAAACTATATTTTAATTTGAGTCCTTGAATAAGTTTTTATATTATTTGCACACAAAAAAAAAAAGAATACGTTTTTATATCACACTATGTAAAATAAATATACTTATAGTGGGCATGGGAGAATCTTTGGAGTAGAAAGAGGTCACAAAATATGCGCTCGTGCGGGAGGGTATACTGACAAAAATTGGCACCCGGCCCAACTCTACGGCCCACGCGCGTCGAAACCGTTTCCGGCTTTTCATAAAACACCCCTTCTTATTTTAATACTCTTACTATCTAACCTATTAATAGTAAATTGATTTCCTAGGACCCTTGTCTTTTTTTCCTCACACAAGCTAAATAATTAAATAGTACTCTATTTTCTTTTTTCTGTTTTCTATGTGTATAAAATATGTTTATACGTACACTTCAAGAATTTTGTTTGTCTTTTTCCCATAATCTCTAGCTCATTTTTGAATGCGAATGTCACGGATTTGTAGATATTATGTTCAGTTTTATGTTTTATTGAAGTAATAGACTCATATTTGATTTATTATATGTAGAATATATATGTGTGCTATGGAAGAGTAATTTATTTCAAAAATTAAGATATTATTATTATGATAAATATTATTTTGGTATCATGTTTTGTGGCATTTAGAGTAGATGTAGTGTTAACTTGAGTTGGATGAAGCAGAAATTTACTTCATTTGTTCTCTAACAAAATGAATGTGTATAAATTTTGGAAAAAGTTTTTCACAAATTATAAAAAAGTTCTTTAGTGAGGTTTGTCTTAGTTTATTCTCAATGTACTTTGATACTTAATAGAGTAGCTAATAAGACAGCTGTATATCGGCTTAGTCAGAAAATGGATAAAGTGCGACGGTTGAGAAAAGTTAAGCGGCAACTATATAAATAAAGACAAAACGCAGGGTCGCAATATTAATATACAAAAAGAAAAGAGGACCATAAACAAATTAAATTCTTTTAATTTAAATAAGCTAGTGCTTCGTGCCGTGTAGGGTTAGAAAGTTGCATAAATGCGTAAAAACATACGAGAGCTAATGAAGAAAGTAGGCCTTTATCGTAATTATCGTCAAATTAATCGTTAATTTTATTTTATTTGTATAGGTTAGAGCAGAGACTACTATTTATATGGGAACGTGAGACCTATATCTCCATACGTGCCGGGTAATCCATCTAGAGTGATAATAATTTATTAGCAACGTTAAATGAATCGAATCCAAGTGTTTGACTATAAGTCCCATATAAGATTTATCTCCAACGGGAAAATTTTTTAAAAAAGAAAAAAAACATTTACCAACTTTTTAGAGTTTGTTTGTTTGTTCTATATTGAAAAGAAAAATTCCGATGTATTCCTCTCGCGACTCGCATTTTTATCAGTGGAATATGTACCCTAAATCATTTAATGTTTAAGTAATTAGCTTTTAGTAGAATATGAACACTAAAATCATTTAATCCGCCGCGAAATTCTAAATCAACCTTAATTAATTATGGAAATCAATAATTAGGTAGAGATTATAAAGAGAAAATTAATCTTTAGTATCATGATTATGTTTTCTCTTCTTTTTCTGTAGGATTATGTTTTCATTTATCTGCTTTTTCCTTTCTTACTTTTTTTTTGTCTTTCTTTCTTTACCATATTTTATTATTATTATTAAATTGCTGTTCTCTATTGCTTTTGCAATTTTCCCGCAACGAGAAAAGAAAGAAAAAAAGTTTGGAAAATAATTAAAGAAATCATCGCTTTTACAATTAGACCTTTGATATTGCTTTCAAAACAGAGACTAAAGAAGAACCCAATCAGCTCCTCATTTACGCAAGATAAAAAGGAGAATTCTCTCATTCTCTTTCTTTCTTTCTTTCTTTTTCGGAGGAAATCTTGTTTGTTCCTGGAAAAATCACTTTCTTCTCTCTCTTTTCTGGGTGAATATGGTCGTGCTAAAAAAAGTTTCCTCTCTATGTAAGCACTTTTCTCACTCTACGGAATCTTAAACAATCTGATTTTAGGAAGAAAAAAAAAACCAACTTTGGTTGTTTTGAATCCGACCATCTCTGCAACATCGTACTTGAGCCGAAACAATATCTAAAAACTTCTATCTCTGTTGTCTTCTTCATCAGTGAAATTCTGTCTCTGTCTCTCTCTCTCTCTTCCGTCACGGTCACAGTCGTCTCTGTCAAACTTAGGTTCTACTCTTTGTTTCTTCCTCTACGCCTCTTCGTCTTCTTCTTAAACATGGTTTCCTGTTTCTTTTTTTTTTTAAGAAAGATTGTTTCTTTGGTCTTTTTCTGAAAGCTTACTCTGTTTTTATGTCCTTGTGGTTTTTCAGAGTTGCAGAGAGTAAATGAATCAGAGAAGAACAAAAGAAGATCCTTACTCCTTTGTACTATTCAATTCAGGCGCAGAAATCCGGAGCTTGGAGTATCAATCTATACAAGGCATTTGATCGAACACGTGGTGGGCCGATGAAGCAAAAATGGCTGTTATTGTTGATACTCTGTTTCTCTGCAACTTCTCCAGTGATGCTCACTCATGGAAAAAGGCTAATCAGCGACGACGACCTCAACGAAACTGCTCTGTTGATGGCCTTCAAGCAAACCTCTGTGAAGTCTGATCCCAACAACTTTCTGGGTAACTGGAAATACGGGTCGGGTCGTGGCTCATGCTCTTGGCGAGGCGTTTCTTGCTCTGACGACGGCCGAATCGTCGGATTGGACCTCCGGAACGGCGGACTCACCGGAACCTTAAACCTAGTTAACCTCACGGCGTTGCCCAATCTCCTGAATCTTTACCTGCAAGGAAATGATTTCTCTTCCTCGGAAGAGTCGTCTGGCTCTGATTCCGCCTCCGGTTGTTATCTTCAGATTCTGGATTTGTCTTGGAACTCGATTTCGGATTATTCAATGGTGGATTACGTTTTCTCGAGATGTTCGAATCTGGTTTCGGTAAATTTATCGCACAACAAGCTCGTCGGGAAATTGGGTTCTGCTCCGTCGTCGTGTAAGAGCCTGACGACTGTTGATCTCTCATACAATATCCTATCGGAGGAGATCCCGGAGAGTTTCATCGCGGATTTCCCGGCGTCGCTGAAATTTCTCGATCTAACTCACAACAATTTATCCGGCGATTTCTCAGATCTCAATTTCGGCATCTGTGGGAACCTCAGCTTCCTCAGTTTATCACAGAACAATATCTCCGGCGATGAATTCCCGATTTCTCTATCCAGCTGTAAATACCTCGAGACGTTGAACATCTCTCGGAACAATCTCGCCGGAAAGATCCCCGGCGGCGAATACTGGGGAAGTTTCCCGAATCTGAAGGAGCTCTCTCTAGCTCACAACCGTTTCTCTGGCGAAATCCCACCGGAGCTTTCTCGACTCTGCAAAACCCTCGAGGTTCTCGATCTCTCGGGAAACACTCTCTCCGGCGAGCTCCCTCCACAATTCACCGCCTGCGTCTCATTACAAAACCTTAACATCGGAAGCAACTTCCTCTCCGGCGACTTCTTAAGCACCGTCGTGAGTAAAATCCCCGGAATCGCATATCTATACGCGGCTTACAACAACGTCACAGGCTCTGTTCCGATTTCACTCACAAACTGTACAAACCTCCGTGTTCTTGATCTGAGCTCGAATGGTTTCACCGGAAATGTACCGTCTGGTTTCTGCTCCCTGCAAGGCTCGCCGGTTCTGGAAAGGATTCTCCTAGCCAACAATTACCTCTCAGGAACAGTTCCTATGGAGCTTGGCAAGTGCAAGAGCTTGAAGACAATCGATCTCAGCTTCAACGACCTCACCGGTCCGATCCCAAATGAGATATGGACGTTGCCGAATGTCACGGATTTGGTTATGTGGGCGAACAATCTCACCGGAAGAATCCCAGAAGGTGTTTGTGTGAAAGGAGGAAACTTGGAAACTCTCATCCTCAACAACAACCTCTTAACCGGTTCAATCCCTGAGTCAATCTCGAGCTGCACCAACATGTTCTGGATCTCTCTCTCAAGCAACCGCCTCACCGGTGAGATCCCTAGCGGAATCGGCGATCTTGCCAAATTAGCAATCTTGCAGCTTGGGAACAACTCCTTGTCCGGGAACGTTCCACGTCAGCTCGGGAACTGCAAGAGCCTGATCTGGCTCGACCTCAACAGCAACAATCTAACCGGAGACCTCCCGGGTGAGCTAGCTAACCAGGCCGGGCTTGTGATGCCCGGTAGCGTTTCGGGTAAACAGTTTGCGTTTGTGAGGAACGAAGGCGGAACAGATTGCAGAGGCGCGGGTGGGTTAGTCGAGTTCGAAGACATTCGCGCGGAACGTTTAGAGCGGTTCCCAATGGTTCATTCGTGTCCCGCGACACGTATATACACAGGCATGGCAATGTACACATTCTCTGCCAACGGAAGCATGATCTTCTTCGACATCTCTTACAACTCTGTTTCGGGTTCTATACCTCTTAGTTACGGTAACATGGGCTATCTCCAGGTCTTGAATTTGGGACACAACCGTTTAACCGGAGCCATCCCGGACAGTCTTGGAGGTTTGAAAGCGATCGGTGTTCTTGATCTGTCTCACAACGATCTCCAGGGCTACTTACCTGGATCGCTAGGGTCGCTTTCTTTCCTCAGCGATCTCGATGTCTCTAACAACAACCTCACCGGTCCAATCCCGTTTGGTGGTCAGCTCACAACGTTCCCTGTCTCAAGATACGCAAACAACTCTGGCCTCTGCGGTCTTCCCTTGCGCCCCTGCGGCTCAGCTCCTCGTCGCCCCGTTACCTCCCGCGTCCGCGACAAGAAGCAAACGGTTACAACCGCCGTGATCGCTGGAATAGCGTTTTCTTTCATGTGCCTTGTGATGCTGATCATGGCGCTGTACAGGGTGAGGAAAGTTCAGAGGAAGGAACACAAGAGAGAGAAATACATTGAGAGCCTTCCAACTTCTGGAAGTTACAGCTGGAAGCTCTCTACCGTTCCTGAACCGCTTAGCATCAACGTCGCTACGTTCGAGAAACCGCTTAGGAAACTCACTTTCGCGCATCTTCTTGAAGCCACCAACGGGTTTAGCGCAGAGACTATGATCGGATCTGGTGGGTTCGGAGAAGTCTACAAGGCTCAGCTCAGAGACGGATCTATCGTAGCGATCAAGAAGCTGATCCGAATCACGGGGCAAGGAGATAGAGAGTTCATGGCTGAGATGGAAACAATCGGGAAGATCAAACACAGAAACCTCGTCCCGCTTTTGGGATACTGCAAGATCGGGGAAGAGAGGCTTCTTGTCTACGAATACATGAAATGGGGAAGCTTGGAAACTGTTCTTCACGAGGTATCGAGAAAAGGCGGGATCTTTCTGAACTGGGCCGCGAGGAAGAAGATCGCGATTGGAGCTGCAAGAGGTCTAGCGTTTCTGCACCATAGCTGCATTCCGCACATAATCCACAGAGACATGAAGTCGAGCAATGTCCTTCTGGACGAAGACTTCGAAGCACGTGTGTCGGATTTCGGAATGGCGAGGCTAGTTAGCGCCTTAGACACGCATCTGAGCGTGAGCACTCTCGCAGGCACTCCGGGATACGTTCCTCCGGAATATTACCAGAGTTTCCGGTGTACGGCCAAAGGGGATGTGTACAGCTACGGAGTTATACTTCTTGAGCTTCTCTCTGGTAAGAAACCGATCGATCCAGGGGAGTTTGGGGAAGACAATAACCTTGTCGGGTGGGCGAAACAGCTATATAGAGAGAAGAGAGGAGCTGAGATTCTCGACCCGGAGCTTGTAACCGAGAAATCAGGCGATGTTGAGCTGTTTCATTACTTGAAGATCGCGTCTCAGTGCTTGGATGATCGACCGTTTAAGCGGCCAACGATGATTCAAGTGATGGCGATGTTCAAAGAGCTCAAGGCTGATACAGAGGAAGACGAAAGTCTTGATGAGTTTTCGCTCAAGGAAACTCCATTGGTGGAAGAATCGCGAGATAAGGAGCCCTAAGATCGAAGACTGAGCAATCGGATGCTCTGTTACTTGTTCCAAATTTTGGTGTCAGTGTATATAACAGTCAGAAGAAGCTTGAGCGAGATTGAGAAGAAGAGGAAGTAGACATTGAAGAGTTATTGTAGTTGTTAGGCTTGTGATTCTCGCTTGGAGGGTTTGTCTTTGGTTAGCTTATAAAACACGGTAAGAGAAGTTCCTCATTGTAAACTTTTATGAGTTTCCCCCAACTAAGAAATTCGTTGGAATCTGGCGTTTGTTTTCATAAGTATATTCTGTTATAAGAGTTTAGCTCTATGAGAGAACATGGGAGCAAATGGTCTTTACCATATTCCAGATCTTAGACAAAGTTGAAAAAGTATCGAACCATACTCTCTCAACAACCCAAATATATGACCAACGTATTATAGTACTACAAACAAAAAAATTGATTACATCTATCACAAAACTAAATGATATAAATTTTAAATTACATAAATGATTCAAAATATATGTTTTAATATCATTTATCATAATTAATGCTTTATTGATTATTTAACTTCAGTTCAATAAAATTAATACAAATTTATATTAGTTTACATCATTTAAATAAAGTTGATATAAGTTATGTATTCAAATCAGTAAAATAATTGATATAATCAATAATTTTGGTTAACATCATTTAAAAAATGATATAAATTATATATCAGTTAAAACTGATGTAACTAACTTTTTGTACTTTGTCTCACATCGCTAGTTGATAAAAAATGAAAGAGAAAAAATGTCTATATATATCAAAACTTAAATACCTAATATTTATATTTACTAGCCAATAAAATTAATTTTGAATTTTTTAGTCTTTCAAAAAATTACTGATTCATAAATTTTCGGATTAAAATAATAATATTATTATAAATATTTATGAAAATAATAATAAATTAAAATTATTTTTAACACCTGAATATAACTATAATATTAATTATAATCGTCACAAATACTAATATAATTAATAAAAAATTGATGAAAACTATAACATCAGTTTTTTTTGTAATTGACACATATTGACATCGATTTCAACAATCGATGCAAAAATAAAAATATTTACATTATTTGATAGCTAACAGATGTTAATTATTTGCATCACCACATTCAGAGTCAGTTTTACAAGTGATATTAAATCTGTTTGTATCAATTATAACTAATACAAATATTTAAAATAAATGATACAACACATCTATTTTTTGTAGTGTAGTTCGTTTGGTAAAACTCTGTAGAAATTTGTTTACATGAATTTCTGGTTTAATTTTTTTTTTCCCAAAAATTCTTATGCAACACAAGAGAAACATTTGTGTTTAATAGCACCTCATACAACAAGAGTCTAGATAAAAAAGCTTTCAATCCAATCTAGGAATCAAACTAAAAATAGTGTTCTGACTTAACCAATTATATTTGACGTTTAATATATACAATGAATTTCTAATACTAATAAAAATTCTAAAAATTAAAATTAAACTAGAAATCTTTTTAAAAATCACTAAAAAGTTAAATTTAGTCCTAAAAATATATTATACTTGTAGTTTTCCATATGTATTCAACTTAAAAAAATTATGTTTGCATATAATTTTTTTTATTAGCAATAAATATCCAAATCGTTGTTAACATTCGACTAGTCATATGAATTAATAGATTTTTTCCAAACCTACCACAAGTAAATTATATGAAAGTTCAAGAGTTCAAAACAATAGCGAAGAAATTGTCCGCAAGAACATCAACTTACCTAGTGAACAGTTTAAGCCCTATCCCAAAAAATAAAACTCCGCAAGAAATCTTAATTTTGTACTTATGTAATGTTTTAATATTTAGGAGTGAATGGCATTAACGTACTTGTTATTATGGCTATTTAAAAAAAAAAATAGTTTCCTTTTAAAATTTATGCATTTGCCATATTTCTCAGTCAACATCTTTTTGATTCCATTTATGTTATTTCTATATATGTGTTAACTACTAACATTCAAGTATTTTAGAACTGAACCGATATTTTGGTTTACAAAACCATAATCAAACCGATCAAACCGCTAATACTGTATTATTGATTGATTTTTTTTTCCAATTAATAAATACTGAATAATAATTTTCAAAAAAATTACTAATATTTTAATATAATATATTAGATTTGCTCGCATTAAGCAAATTCGATCGATTTACAACATTTTGAAAAAAAACTCATAATCTAACTCATTAAAATGTGAATATAACATTTTTTATTAAAAATATATTGGATTGATAAATATAAAATTATGTTTGGCAAATTTTTGAACGATCTAAAACAAAATATAATATACGAATAACTTACTATTTTTTAGAAAGTTTATAAACTATTAATAAACATAAAATCGAAATGATACTATGTTATGTTATATTAGTTAATAATGACTAATGTTTGGCATACAATAATATAACTGACATATAAAAAAATAACCGACACACAATAATTGTATATTCTTAAGAAAGTTTTATATCGAATTGTGTGTCGGTTATTTTATTATATGTCGGTTATTTTGTTGTATATCAAACAATATTAGTTTATAATAACTAATGTTTAACATATAACAAAATAACTGACACGCAATGATTATATATTCTTGAAAAAGTTTTATATCGTTGTGTGTCGATTATTTTATTGTATACCAAACAATATTAGTTAACAATAAATAATGTTTAACATATAACAAAATAACTGACAGAACAATTTAAAATAAAATATAATATACGAATAATCTACATTTTTTAGAAATTTTATAAACTATTAATAAACATAAAATCATGGTAATACTATGTTTTGTTACATTAATTAATAATGACTAATGTTTGAAACACAACAAAATAACCAATACACAACAAAATAACCCACACATAACAATTTAAAACAAAATATAATATACGAATAATCTATATTTTTAAGAATTTTTATGAACTATAAATAAACATAAAATTGTGGTAATAATTACATTAATTAATGATGACTAATATTTGATACACAACAATATAACCAACACACAACAAAACAACCGTATAATCTAAAGCTACTTAAAGTAGTATAAATGTGGTGATACTCAATCTAGTTTAACCCTGTTATACATTAATATATATGTTTCAAATCTGGCGATATTTATTTATTTATAAAAGTTATTATATAAATAATTTATGATAAACGATTATTTTAAAGTTTTATTTAGCTCAGGTACATAAATTACTATTTTAGTGTTTTAATGATTAATTTTCGTATATTGAACTCTGTCATGTCGAAGAATTCAATTATTTTAAATATTATTAAAATCTTAAATGATATATAAAGCATTTTTCCTGACATATATAATAGAAGACAATCCAAATTTCATTTATTTTCATAAACTTTCGGTATAATTTTGAGAAAACCGAACCGAAGTACACCCTTCACACACACAAAAAAAAAAAAAAGTAATTAACAACCTTTTTTGGCATGATTTGGATGAAAAAAGTTTGACCATTTAAATTTGTTACCAAAATACAATGGTTGTGAATCTTATAAGAACAACACCAAGTCCGTCCTGCACTACTCATATCGTTCTTTTTCTTCGCTTTCAACGAACACTTCCGTAAAGAAAAAGGTTTTTCCTTTGCATCACATTTGCATTATATCATTTTTGTTTTAATATAACGACTCTGATTCCGACTCTCTTCATTATTGTAATTTTTGTGTGTGTTTCTTAACATGTCAGGGATTTCCAAATGAGTGATTTTGATGGAAACTTCATGGAAACGACTTCGTGTTGGGCACCACCGTCCAGTCCTAGCCCAAGAACGATATTAGCGATGCTGAATCAAACCGACAATGGTGTAAATCGGATCAGCGACATCTTCCCTCAAACCGACTCATCAAGATCCCATCAGTCTGAACAAAGATCCAGTCGTCTCGGGGAGAGATTAACTGCAAGAATGGGATTTACTCTTCCTCCACTACACACAGAGAACATCAGTCCCTTTGCTGCATTTTTCAGGAACACGACTGTTCCTTCTCCTGTCGTCGCAATCTCTCCAGGATTCAGCCCATCTGCACTGCTGCAATCTCCAAATGTGTTCTCTAATTCTTCACAGGTCAGTCTATGTTTATGATTCATGTTTTATTGATTAATACGTAACTTATAAATCATTTATATGTTAGATAAATGGTTAAATGAATGTGTGATCGAATTAACATTACGAATGCTATTTTTCAAACTAATACGTGTATTTAGAATCTATAAAAGGAAATAGAATCTATCGGTAAACACAGAATCTGTCATTTCCTTTTTGGTTCACGTTTATTATTTTGATCGTACCAACTGCGTTTACAATTTACAAATGTTGTTTCGAATAATGTATTATGTAAAATTACGTTTGAAACCATCGGGATCTCGGGCCTTATCAGTGTTTTCTTCGATAGGAAAAGAAATACAAAACAACAAATCTCAACCTTAAACCCTAACTCTTATTGTCTTTTGGTAACTTGTTTTTCCAGATTATCCCACCGTCTCCAATCGCCAATTACGAGTCTACAGAAACTGTGGAAAGTCCCGGTGATAACCATGCAGCGGCGATGGAGTCCAACAACGATCTTCCTCATCAGCCGATGCACGTTGATCTGCCTCCTCAAGAAAGTAAGAGAGTTGCTTGTGTCTCAATTTTCCGAATCTTTTTATGAGTTTTTTTTTTTTGTTTACATGTGAAATAGGCTCTGATGATACTCCCATGGAAGAGTCCGTTTACATCCCATCTCATGTTGATCCCACTGATGCTCCTTTGGTCGCTTCTTCTGAACCTTTAACTTCTGATGAAACCGATATCATCATCACCATTGACAACGACAGCGGGAGCGAGGACGAGGACGAAGAATACAACGAAGATGATGAGGATGAAGATGAGGACGAAGATCAAGACACTGTTAATGAACAAGATGTCCAACCTTCATCTCCAAAGAGAAGGTTCCAAGAAAAGTTAATAGCGTAATCGATAATACTAAACTTAACATATTAACTAAATGAACCTAAAAATGACACAATTCTCTTGCAGGAAGCTTGAGGTATCAAGCATGATTGGAGCCACAAGAACAAGCAAGAACCAAAGGGTCATCATTCAGATGGAATGCGAAGAAGACCATCCTGACGATGGTTTTCGCTGGAGGAAGTACGGTCAGAAAGTTGTCAAAGGGAATCCAAATCCGAGGTTGTCCTTTCACCATGTTCTTCGTCTTGCCTTTTCCTTTTACCAACTATTAATCTTCTGCGAATATAAATAAACCTTCATTTGTTTCCGCAAGACTTTGGATTATGTATATACGATGCTAAATCATTAAAAAATTAATGGTAATTGCAGGAGTTACTACAAATGCACATACACTGAGTGCAACGTGAAGAAACATGTGGAGAGAGGAGCAGACAATGTGAAGTTAGTGGTGACTACATACGATGGGATACACGAGCACGCTGCACCAGCTGCACGCCCAACCAATCCCGGTCCAAAGTCTCGGCCCGGTTCATCAATGCCTCAAGATCCTAGCAATCGAACCGCTCGGTTAGGCAGGCCGCCTTCTTCGTCTTCGGCCTTTCAAGGTATGAGGCCTTCTTCTTCCTTGGGCCCACCACTTGATTTGACACAGATGTACATTAGTGGGCTCTCTAAGCTGCCAACTTTACCGGTTCACCAGAATCCTGGTTTTATGAACCGGAATGTTGAACCGAGGACTGATGTGATACCGGACGGTACAGAGGTATACCAGGGGATCATGCATCAGCTGTTTCTTCAGTATGGTGTGTCCAACTTCAGATCGTAAAACTTAAAGAACAACAACAGCAACAAACAAGTTTAGATTTAAACCGTTTTTTCAATCCTTATCCGCAGTGATATATATACAATAATATACATTGTATACTGATATACAAAACTTGTACTCATCATCTTATTTATAATTTTCATGGATTTTACTCTTTAAGTTGTCTCTTTGCTTAATTTAATTTCTAACAATTAGAGATGCTTAATCTAAGATAAATGGAACCAATCAATTCCAAATTAGATAGAAAATTTGATTTTATAATTCGAACTAAATCCAATCGTAACCAAACCGAAATTTGGATTGAGCACTCCTATTTAAAGCTATTTTGACCGAGCGTTTAAGGAGCACAAACCGGGTTCTACCAGGCCGTCTAGTTTTCTATAAACCGATCGGTAATAACCCGGACAAGTCGGGAAGGATATAACTAATCCTGCGTCCAAACACCGCTTATTCGTGTCAACGGCTCAAAAGGGGAAGAAGATGAAGAATTGTAAATTTTCTGGAATTGAATTGAATTTGAAGAGTAGAAGGAGAGAGAGAGATAATTTACCATGGAGGACGTGACGAGATCTGTGTTAGCGGAGGAAATACTGAAGCGTTTAGATCTCGAGAATTTATGTTCCGTCGCCTGCGTTTCCACCTCGCTCCACTCCGCCGTTGTCTCCGGCGTTCTCCCTTCTCTTACCTCCCTCGATCTATCTGTGAGTTTCCGATTCTCTGAAATTCGCAGACTTTCTCTCCAATTACTTCTGGAAAGAGATGAAATTTATCAAATTTTGTCGTTTCTCTTCGCGTTGTTTGTTACTTGTTAGGTTTTCTCTCCGGACGAGGAAACTCTGGATCACGTGCTGCGTGGTTGCATCGGGCTCAGGAGCCTAACTCTGAACTGTCTCCGCCTTAGCATCGCTGCTGTGCGTGGGGTTCTCGGGCCACACCTCCGGGAACTTCACTTGCTCAGGTGTTCACTTCTTAATTCCACCGTGCTCAGTTCCATCGGGAGCCTCTGCCCAAATCTCCGGTACAATTCCGTGTTCCCTTGATACTGCTTCGATAGGTGCCTCAATGATTTCTCGTGCTTGTGATTGTGATCGATGTTTGTTTCTGCTATTTAGCAGTTTGATAGACTGAAAATAGAAGGAAAAATGACGGAAAGTCAAACATTTTTTTTCTTCTGAATTTATTACTTGATCGATTCCATATATAGAGAGATATGATCCGGTAGGTGACAGGACATCGTTTCAGTATTTGGTTCTCATATTAAACTTCATTCATCCAATCGAATCATACTATACGTTAAGCTTTGTCTTTTCTATTAGCTAAGGCTTTTGTGAATCATTCTCTCTTGACAAGAAGTTTAAATGTGAAGAATTGAGTTTCAAGCTATGAGGGAATTGAAGTTGTGACAGACAGTAATTAAGAGTTTACTTTATTACAGGGTTCTTACCGTCGAAATGGCAGACCTGGATTCACCCGTTGTGTTTCAATCGAACCTGACGCAAATGCTAAACGGGTGTCCGTATCTGGAGGTAATTTGTTAAAGCTTGCTGAGGCATTGGTCCGAAGAAGCGAGAAAGTGTGAAATTGAATTGGGTTTTATTATTCTTGTGATGCTTTGCAGTCGCTGCAACTTAATATCCGAGGCATCCTAGTAGATGCCACTGCTTTTCAGTCAGTAAGATTCTCCTTGCCAGAAACTCTGAAAGCTCTGAGGTTACAGCCACTGCTTGAGTCCGAGGCAATTCTTCTCATGAACAGATTCAAAGTCACTGGAACTTGTTTATCTAAGCCTGATTATACTGCCTTGCTTTCTCCTTCTTCACCTTCTTTTACATTGCAAAGCCTGTCTCTTGTACTGGACTTGATCTCTGACAGGCTAATCATAGCTATCACAGGTTCTCTTCCTCAACTCGTCAATCTGGACCTTGAAGACCGTCCTGAAAAAGAACCATTTCCCGACAGTGACTTGACTTACACTGGGCTTCAGTCTCTGGGCTTTTGTCAGCAACTCACAAGCCTCTCTCTGGTGCGAACTTGCTACAACCGCAAGATTTCATTCAAGAGAATTAACGACATGGGTATATTTCTTCTTTCCGAGGCTTGCAAAGGTTTAGAGTCGGTGAGACTTGGCGGGTTCCCAAAAGTCAGCGACGCTGGCTTCGCGTCGCTCCTTCACTCATGCCGGAACCTGAAAAGGTTTGAAGTACGAGGTGCCTTCCTGTTGTCTGATTTGGCATTCCATGATGTCACAGGATCTACTTGTTCTCTTCAAGAGGTCAGGCTCTCCACGTGCCCTCTCATAACCAGCGAAGCCGTGAAGAAGTTGGGTCTGTGTAGCAATCTTGAGCTGCTCGACTTAGGCGGCTGCAAAAGTATATCAGATTCTTGCCTCAGCACTGTTTCAGCCCTCAGGAAGTTGACATCTCTGAATCTCGCAGGAGCCGATATAACCGATAGTGGCATGCTTGTACTCGGTAAGTCAGATGTTCCCATCACGCAGCTCTCCCTCCGCGGCTGTAAGAGAGTCAGTGACAGAGGAATTTCCTATCTGTTGAGCAATGAAGGAACGATCAGGAGAACATTATCAACACTTGATCTCGGTCACATGCCAGGAATCACAGACAAATCCATCCACACTATCACGCGTTATTGCAAGGCTTTAACAGAGCTAAGTCTAAGGAGTTGCTTCCACGTGACAGATTCTTCGATAGAGTTGCTGGCTACAAGGGAAAGACAAACAGAGGGAGGAAGCAAACAGTTGAGGAAGCTCAATGTCCATAACTGTGTGAGCTTGACGACTGGGGCACTGAGATGGCTGAGGAAGCCATCTTTCGCGGGTCTGCATTGGCTCGGACTGGGACAGACACGGTTCGCTGGTCGAAAAGATGCGGTCACAGCTACAGACCAGAGACCGTGGCTCACATTGTGTTTTGATGGGTGTGAGCTTGGATGCTATGATGGTTGGGAATTCCACACGCCTCAACGTCACTGAGGAAACTCGTCTTCTCACTAATTATGTATTGTATAAAAGCGTTCAGAAAAATAATTTAGCAGAATGTGTAATTTGTCATAAATGTCATGGATACATATACATTTTTTACCTATTTGTTATATGTATTAATGGGTGAATAAACAAAACAATTGCGGAAAAAATAACAATTGGATCAGAAAAAGAAAGATTCAAGTGCCTACATATTAGCCTTGGCAGATGGCAGCATACACTTAAAATCTGGTGCCAAGCCAACCACTGAAGCTTTGACTTATGATTAATTAAGTAGTCAAATTGATTAGTTAGCTAATTAAGAAAAACAAGATACCCATTTTTCTGATTTAAATTAATCACAGAGGGCGTTCACATTTCTAAACATTAACGACAAATGTAACCTGAATCAACATCACGTGTCGGTCTCACAAACCGAACACCCGAAAACCAGAGTGTTGTCTTCTTCTTTACATTTCGTTTTGTGGATTATTTTTACACAATATACAGATCCGTCTATATATTTTTCTAGCAAGTCACATTTTTCTTCAATATATTGATTTAGTCCACTTACTTCTATTAAATACATAAATCACAAAGGTTTACAGGAGATTCTGAAAACCTTTAAATGCTAAAAAATAAATCAATATTCTGAAATTCTCAAAATTTTCAACTTTTTGTATTAATTAATCAAAAAAGGTTTATAGGAGAGATTTCTATTTCAACGTAATTATAGTACGAAGGACTATCCAGAAATATTTGGCAAACAACTTTACGCCAATAGATTTGATAATAAACTTTGGAAAATGTATATGAAAAAAGGAAAACGGTAAAAAAGGTCAAGAAAAAAATAGAGTGAGATTGATGGATGGAAGTAAAAAAGAGAGTGGGTGTGTGTGTGTGGAAGAGCATGAGGGATTGCTTCTGTCAGTATGCATATGAAATATATTATAAATTTCACCTAAAACCCTAAATCCATTTTCTCTTTTTTTTTTTGTTGGAGTATTTACAAATGATTTTTTTCCCATATATATTTAATTATTTATTATACAATTTAATTTGTTGGGTGAAGTTTAGATTTCTATCCACACGCAAAATTGCCTTTCAGCTCATGACAACGTACGTCATCATCTACCCATCTTTGCTATATATTAATTTCACCGTCTTGTCATAAGCAAATAAGCAATCATTTGATTTTTGATATCTGAGGAAGAAAAGTTTAGGACGAATAATGTTTTCTTTAACAGTCAATCTAATGACATATTTTCGATTCCCTAGCATATGTATGTACGTTTACTTATAAGTTATATTATTATCACTAATGTCTCCTATATTAGCATATTACTTATGAAAGTTAAGGACGAAATATAATTTTGTAATGCCTTGGAACACAAATCAGTAAAAGGGAAATTTATAACGAATGTATATATAGATGTAGTACATATATGATATATACTAACAGTATACAGTAAATGCCGGTGTGAAAATAAGACAAGAAAATAAATTCTCAATCCATTAATATATGTTTATGAATGCATGTAGATGTATCCATAGTGCATGGACTCGTGTTTGTGTATATATATGGTTTGATTAGAAAGATCGGATCTAAATCTGATCATTGCATTTTGAATTCAGATACAACTAGACGCGTGTGCTTAATCTGTACTCTGTGGGTGTGTATAGATATGTGTGCAATGTTCTAGTACTACTATGTATATAAATCAATAAATGTGTTAGGGCAAAGAGTGAACAAAAGGGTATGAAAAAAAGGGAAGACAAGTGAGGCAACAAGGTACACGAGAGACGAGAGAGATACCTATGAACCACTACTTGTGTGTTTGTGTTTTCATGAAGTAAAATTTACAGCATAATGAATAAATTAAAACACCCTTTTCTATTAGTTAAAAAATATATTTAACATCAGTATAAATAAACACACCCTTTTGTTTTATTTTTGACAACTTTGATGCTTTTGTTTCACCCGACAAATCGGCACCTTTTAGGGTTTTCATTACCTGTT